GGAGGACCACAGGTTCAAGGCCTGGCTGGGCTTCAGACCGAGTTCAAGACCAGCCTGAGTAACTTAATGAGACCTTGTCTCAAAATTTAAAACTGTACCTCTGTGACAGGGCACTTGCCTTGAATACATGAAAAATCTGGGTTTGAGCTCCAGCTCTTAAAATTTTTCAAAGGAATGCCAAGTCAAGGCAGGAGGAGTCTGGGGACTGTCCAGGGTCACACCCACAAAGGTACTAGGAGTGCCTTCCTTGAGGGCTAAATGAGCCAATGCAAGCGGAGCATTTAACCCAGGGCCTGGCACACAGGAAAGCATTCAAAGTGACTGTAGTTACTGTCGTCATCCTTAGGATCCTGCTCGCTGATGCCAAGCAGCGAGGTCTCTAGGCCCTTCCTGTTTACAGGACAGGACCTGGCCCAGCTTTCTTACCACAGGGTGTGGAAAGGGGCCCACAGCAGACCTGGAGGCAGCTGAGGCTGGCCTTTCATGAGCTCTGTGACTCCAGGGGAAGCCCTCCTTGGTGCCCACATCCTTGGTTTCCTTCTCCCTGAGAAATGAGGTGGCCTGATACCCCATAGGGTCCCCCCAGTTTGGAGTCTCTGATTTCCACAGCAAAACAAAAACTGCCTCAATCAGAAGGCAGTTGGGAGCGGGTGCCTGGCTGGGCTGTAGGAGCCCCGGGGCAGCCGCAGACAAAGGCACCCTGTGCAAACACTGCCTCCAGCCCTCACGCTCTGGACCCAGATCCCACAGCTTCCAAGAATCACAATTAGACATCTTTACTTGAGAGTCCTCCACTGACTTCGTGTTCCTGGAAGTTGTCATCCAGGAAAAGTCAGGCGGGGGGCGGTGGGGGAGAGTGGGGGGGGGGGAGAGTGAAAGGGATGGTGAGCTGGAGGGCAGCATGAAAGAATACAGAGGCAGGAAAGAGGACAGAGGGAAGGGGAAGGACAGGGGACTGGAGAGGAGAGTGACAGGTGACAGGAGGAGAGGCTGGAGGTGACCCGGGACACTGAGAAACAGGAGCCAGGAACAACTGCAGCTTTTGACTTCCTTCAGCCTGGGGTACCGTGAACACAAGCAGCTAAACACAGGTCACAAGCCGTTTGCTTAAACGGAGTGCGCAGCCGTGACCTGGAGGCCATGCTACTGCTACTGCAGGGGAATCCCAGCTTTTGCCTCCACCCCTACCCCTCCACCCCCAGTCTACACTCCAGTCCCTTTGGCCTGGAGACAGCTTTCCGTAAAACAAACTTCTCCATAAAGCAGCTCTCTTCCCCCAAGGGATCACTGCTCAGCCACCAAGGATCCCATTATCTAAACCGGGAAGCAATGGACTCTGCTGTCATGGTAACTGGTATTTTGAAGTCCCAAGCAGGCCCTACAAAGCCCCACCTCCTGCAGCCCTTGGGTCACACTCTAGTAATGACAGGATCACCATTGACTGAGCAGCCCCTGGCTCTGCCTGGTCTGTGCCTGTGCCTTGTGACCACTGGTCTCTTTTCACAGAGAAGCCCAGTCTGTCTTCACAATGGAGAACGTGTCATGGGAAAGGTCACAGAGGGTTTTTTGGCTCTCCCACTTAGCATGACCAGGGGAAGCTACTGGTTTGTTGAATGTTGAGTTCCTCATCTCTAAAACTAGGATAGCCTTGGGTTCTCAGCACAGGACAGACAGGACAGTGAGTAGTAGAGGTGAAACCTGGGACCAGGGTTTGCCTAAGAACTAAAGAGATTCACAGGGCTGTGGTGGTGCACGCCTTTAATCCCAACACTCGGGAGGCAGAGGAAGGCGGATCTCTGTGAGTTCGAGGCCAGCCTGGGCTACAGAGTGAGTTCCAGGACAGGCTCCAAAACTACACAGACAAACCTTGTCTCAAAAAATACCAAAAAAAAAAAAAAAAAGAAAAAAAAAGAAAAAAGAACTAAAGAAACTCAAGCCCAGACAGATCCTAAGGGCCTGACACCTGACCCAGGTGCCCAGGAGGGTGACCAGCAAGGTGCCCCGTGCCCTGTGAGGTGTGAGGAGTCTGGCCCCGACCCTCACTCTGCATGGTCCCCTCTGCCCCTTCATCCTGCCTTGCCCCACCTTCAGCCACCTGCAGGGCCCCCTCTTGGGTGGGGTGGTTGGGGCAGAGCAGGGCAGAGCAGGGCGTGGTGAACCAGAGGCAGCAGGAACCATTATCAGGTGGCCCCGGATGGAAAGGGCTTCAGCAGCCTCCTTATCGGCTCCTCAGCGCCCCAGACTGTGATGCATAGCCACAGGCTTATCAGGGGAGCCTGGGGCAGGGTGGGGGGAGAGCCAGATCCCCTGCAGCTCCTGCTCAGGCTCTGCCGAGAGTGGAAATGGCAGTGGCCTTCTGGGAACCAGAGAGTCACTGGGCTCGCTGCCATCTCTGCCGTTAGGTTATCTTAGCTAACCACTTCCCTCCCTAGCCCCCAAACCATGACTGAAACTGGTGACGGTGGGCTGTGGGATGAAGGGTCTCACACACACACACACACACACACACACACACACACACCGTCCTCCCCTAGGAGGTCAAAGCCAGTGACTCTTCATGAGGTAAATGACTCTGTGGGGAGTGCTGGGCTGAGCAAAGGGAAGTGGCATGTACCATGGCATACACTTTGAGTGGTCAGTCACTCGGCTTTGCTGTGTCTTACCCTACAAGTCTCGACATCCCAAAAGGCCAAGCGGACCACTTTGGAGATGTTTTTGGAAACCTCTTGCAGGCTCCAGGAGCTGGCTGGGATCCTGCAGAGGGTGCCCCAGCTACAACTTGGCCTCACTCTGAGGGTGGTAGGGTTTTCTGGGCACATGGAGAGCAGGCCCCATAACGGGGCTCTGATAACAGCTTCCACCTTATCTGTTGGCCAAGAACTGGGTGGGGCAGGTCTGAGAACCAAAGGCAAGTTCTACAGAAAGGTGGGGGCAGCTTAAACGAAGGCTTCCATGAGGGAAGGACCCGTGAGGGTGGCCTGAAGTTTAGGGGAAGGGACGTCAAGGGCAGGGGTGGCCTAGGTCCCTCTCAGAGCTGTAGAAATCCTCAACTGGGAAGAACAGAGGCCCAGAATCCTCATCCCAGAGGAAGACGTAACTGCCTTTGGAGGAGTCAGGGCCTCTTGAGAACCTGAAGAAAACGGCATCCTTGCCTAGTGGGGAAACTGAGGCCTTACAGGTCAGGGAGAACAACACCTCTTAGGCCACTGGGGCTGGATGAGCCTCCTGCATATCTTGAGACTAGGAGCCAATGTACAGTAAACCCAAGCCAGGCTGGGCTGAAGGGAGATAGCCTCCCCAAAGCTCCTAGAGGAGCTGGGACTTGGGCAGGTACCCTTCTCAAGCCAGGAAGTTGCAGCCTCCTTGGCCCCAAGATCCTCTATTCCTCTGGCCCAGGCCCAGACCACCTGGAGAGCTCTCCTTTGGAGAGAGTAAGCAGGAACCCCGACTGTCACATTCTTGCCATTTTCTTGAAGCTGGGGTGTTCCCCTCTGCACACACAGGACATGCACACCCAGGTGTAGACACACATCTGGGCTCAGTGGCTCAAAAGGACTGTTTCTGTCCTTGGTTGCCATGTAGAGCTGCGCTGGCTCTGCATTTAAACATGCCCCCGTAATAGCCTAAAATGTGGTCCCTGGCACAAGCTGGAAGGGCCAAGCTGGGCTGATCTTTTTTTATTATTATTATTTAATATTTATTTATTTTTATTTATTTATTTATAGACAAGGTCTATATAGTCCTGGCTGTCCTGGAACTTGCTTTGTAGACCAAGCTGGCCTCAAACTCACAGAGGTCCTCCTGCCTCTCAAGTACTGGGATTAAAGCCATGCCACTCCAGGCCTGGCCTGGCCTGACTTTTGATTTGCCAATGACAAATATCCAAAATTCCACCTAGAACCCAAACTGGAGAAAAGCCCCAAGCCCCACAGAAGCTCCTGATATTGAAAAATGAGCTAGCCCACAGCCCATAGGGCCAGAAGCAGAGCAAGTAGAGTTGACAGATTTGACAGGGAGGGGCCTGGGGCCTCCAAGGACAGGTGAGGAGGGATGGGGGAGCTGGGGGGATGTGTGTGTGTGTGTGTGTGTGTGTGTGTGTGTGTGTGAGAGAGAGAGAGAGAGAGAGAGAGAGAGAGAGAGAGAGAGAGAGAAGGAGGGAGGGAGGGAGGGAGGGAGGGAGAGAAGCTAGACTTTATTGTCTAAAGAGCTAGAGAGCTGGTCATGTGCTCCACCAAGCACCCCCAGGCGCCTGAAGACTCACTAGACCTTGGATCACACCAGGGACAGGTGGAGTATGGGGGAGGGGGTACATCAAAAATGAGACGCGGTTGCGGGAAAGACGCAGGCTCAGCATTAAGAGTGAGCACACCCCATTCCTCCATATCTCTTAAGAGTGGCCGCTGGAAGGGTACCCACACCTAATCTGATGGCCTTCCAACCCACAAGGTCCAGTGCTGCAGCTCAAGGGGCCCGAGCGAGACTTGTGCGTTCCCGGGCAGTGGGCGCCCTCTGCAGCCAGATACAGGTACTGCAGGGCGGAGGCCGCGTCCTTCCCCGGTGCAGACATGACTGGCGGTTTTCTCACACCATCGCCAGCTCTCACCAGGAAGACTGCACTTAATACTGTCCGTCCATCGTAAGAATGAGAGAAACTGTAGTGTCTTGCCCAAGGTCACGGACCCAGGCAATGCTAAACTCCGTGCTTGAGTCTCCAGGGATCCTGGCTCACTCATCCCTGGAGGTCGTTGTCCCCAAGCCCCTTGAACAGGCCTGACACCCTCATCAGAAACCAACAATTAACATTTAGTGAGGACTGGCAGATGTCAATACTCCCACCATTGAAACGACAGGGGCTTGGCCCAAGTGGACCCCGAGGATTCAGATGGGGAAGTATAGGTTCAGGTGGTCCAGGCTCAGTGTGCGTCTGGGTGAGCCTCGTCTAGGCGTCTCCGACAGCAAGGACAGCCGTGGGCTGGCATCAATCTAAACACAGAGTGGGGACATGCAGGCTTCCTCCAGCCTCCCCAGCTCCAGCTCCCAGCCAACCCCGGTGCTCCACCCCCCACCCCCCAACTCCCCATGGACGGAGCCAAGGGGAGACTAGCTCCTCAAAGGCAACGGGTTGAGAGGGAATCTGTGGTGACCACCCCCATCGTAATCCTTACGTCCCACTTCCATGTATTTCAATGAAAATGGGCCGTGTGGAAAATTTTATCCACCTAAAGGAATATTCTTCAAAACAGTATCAACTGTAGGCTAATCTCTGTCCTCATTAAGAGTGACTGGCCCAGGTCCAGAGTAAGTTGGGATGCGGTCTTTTCTCTGTTTCTGGGGGGCACCTGAGAGTGTTCTGGAGGCCTGTCCACCCTCATTCAAGGTCCCTCCAGGTTTAACATGTCTCCACCAAGCTCTGAGTACCCCAGCTTCAGGGCCAGCCCCACCTCCTGGGGACTTTCCCACAGGAGTCCTCTGCCTTCTCACCTCCTTGAGAACAATGTCTTCACCACTTCCTTGAGGCCCCTTCCCTGTTGTGTTCGGAGGAGGTTGGGGCTGGGGTCCAGGGGGATCAGGTTGATCAGAGGGGCCAGGGGGGCCTGGGGAACAGTGTTCAGGAGGACACAGTGGTGAGGGCTGTGTCTTCTCATAGATCCATTCCGTCCCCACCGGTCTTTGCAGACAGACGACCTCAGACATGTACCTAAAGAAACAAGCCAGATGCAAGGGGTCAATGCCCTTCTCAGCCAGGGCCCCATCCTCCCTCTCAGTTTGGGGACATATCCCAGAGGCCAGCCCTGCCCGGAGCTAGGCTAGCCTTTCCTGGCTGCAGCTCCCTCATCCCCTCAACCCACAAGAACTCACAGAAGGGCCCAATGGTCCCCCGTGGGGGGTGGGGGGGACCCCAAAGGAAAGGCCTGAACCGTGCAAGATCTGAGAGCAGGAGTGAGGGGCCACTTCATCTACCAGCCCTGGGGGCCGTTATTCAGATGTCTCTTTTCCCAACTCACTTGGGACTCAGTGGCGCACACATTGTTAGATACCAGTTCCTGGCAAAGCCCTGGTCGAAAGGGTTGTATTCTTGATGGTTCCTGCACTGGAAGGGTATGGGGGTGAGAAAATGTCAGAACTGGCCAGTCCCTCACGGCAGCTCCCTGCCCTCATCCAGTCAGCTTAGCTCCAGCTGCCACCGATTTGCAAAGGAGGGCAGGGAAGCCGGAGAGGGAGCTGGACTCACCGGAAAAGCACCCCCATTCTGAGCAGGTCTGCCGAGGCTGATGTTAACACTATCCCCACCACCTGTACGCCCCTTTGTAGCAACCTTGCTCTCCGTGGCCACACATACCCTCCGCTGACCTTCCAGACAGGTGTTCAGACCCTCCCGTAACCACTCGGCCCCTCCACAGACAGTTCCACCATCCAACCACCGTTTCTTGGCCCTTCCCACCACCCATCTTTGCCTTCTGGATAGTTGTCTTCATGGAATTTCACCATCCGGAAGGTCAGCAGTGGTTTGGATCAGATTTTCCCAGCCAGCATCACGTGGCCTAGGAAAGCCTGGCCCGGATGTGGTGATACGGCAAAGGTCAAGCTCAACGTTCAAGTCCTCCTCTGGTCACTTTCTTTTTGGTTTGTTTGTTTGTCTGTCTGTCTGTCTGTCTGAGAGTCTCACTCTGAAGCCCAGCATGGCCTAGAACTCACTTTTTTCTTTCTTTCTTTTCTTTTCTTTTCTTTTTTTTTTTTTCGAGACAGGGTTTCTCTGTGTCACTTTGTGCCTTTTCTGGAACTCACTCTGTAGCCCAGGCTGGCCTCAAACTCACAGAGATCCACCTGGTTCTGCCTCCTGAGTGCTGGGATTAAAGGCACGTGCCATCACCGCCTGGCCTAGAACTCACTTTTGTTGCCCAGGCTAGCCTCAAACTTGCAGTGATCCTCCATGCTGTGGTTAAAGGGGTGCACCACCATGCCCAATGTCCCCTGGACACTCTTAACTAGGGTCTCCATGCCCCCTTCCCACTCACCCCGAGACCCCACCTCCTGCAGGCTAAGCCTTATCCCAGCTTAGAGAGTCTTGGGCACAAGGAAAAGTGGCCCAGCCGCAGCCCTGCCTGCTCCCAACTGCCCCGTGCCCCATGCTCCTGTTATCAAGACTTGAATCTTCAATACTCCAGAAAAAACCAGGACTCCATTCAGGACGCCATGGCCCAAAAGCTACACGAACCATCGTGCTTTGGAAAGGCCCGGCTCCTTCAATGTGGCTGAGGCCATTAAGAGAAACAGGTAGCCCCACTGGGGATTCTGACAGAATGTTTAGAAGGATTTGATACAATTGACAGAATTTTAAAAGTTACATGGAAAACAATCAGCTAGATACATAGGAAATATAGAAAAATGTTGATTTGTATGACATAGAAAATGCTTAATATGCTGGGCAGTAGTGGCGCATGCCTCTAGTCCCAGCACTCAGGAGGCAGAGGCAGGTGAATCTTTGTGAGTTTGAGGCCAGCCTGGTCGACAGAGTGAGTTCCAGGATAGTCAGGACTACATAGAGAAACTCTTTTTGAAAAACCAGGATTACACAAAGAAACACTTTCTTGAAAAACGGGAGGGGGAGAGGAGGGAGGGGAGAGAGAGAGAGAGAGAGAGAGAGAGAGAGAGAGAGAGAGAGAGAGAGAGAGCTTAATAAAGTCTTAAGACCCAACCAATCCATCTGAGTATGTTCCTTTGCCCACGGGGGCCCTCTCAGACATAAAGAGAATCAGGGGTGCATACGTGTGCACACACACTCGCGTACATGTACACAAATACTTCACAGTGAAAAACTTCTGCTATTTGGAACCTGAAAAGAAAATGAAATAATGAGCTATAGCTCTCAAGAAAATATTTTTAAAACACACATCTGAACCCCCGGATACATAAAGAACTCCTAAGACACAAAAGGGAAATAATCCAATTTTTAAATGGGCAAAATATTGGAGCATACGTTACATCAAAGGTGCACATTGCTCAACATCACTCTCTTGAGGAAAATACAAATCAAAGCAGTAGGATGCCACCACACATTTACTTGATGGGCTAAAACAACAACAACAACAACAAAAAAAAAAAAAAAAAAAAAACTAAACAAGCCCCCAACAGTGTCAAGTGTTGGCAAGGAGGCAGAGCAACAGGAATTCTCATCTGTCCTTGTACGAATGCAAAATGGTGTTTTGGAAGGCAATCTGCTAATTTAGCATAAAATTAAACACATAGCTACCTCATGACCCAGGATTTACACACTAGGAAAGCTTAGGTTCTGGATACCAATGTTCGGACTGCGTTCACTTTATAATTGCCCCAAACTAGAAAGGATGTAAAAATCCTTCAGTTGGTGAACGCAAGTCGGTAGAGCATTCATACAAGTCAATGCGATGCTACACTGCGATAAAGAGGAATAAACTGACCGGAACAGCAAGGGTGAATCTCAAGTGTGTTGTGCTAAGCAAGCCAAGGCAGACTCGAAAGACAATGATTTCATTTATGTGGGCTTCTCAAAGATAAAACAAAACAACAACAAAAACCCCTATGGGGGGAAAACAAACCAACCATTGTCCAGGATGTAATAAGACGACAAATCACCTACAAAAGGCCTTGAAAGAATCTTCTGGAGTAATGACGTACTACTTTCAGATCCCCTTACCATGACCCCCGTGTTTCCTCTGCATCAAGACTAACTCCCGGCCGGGCAGTGATGGCTCATGCCTTTAATCCCTGCACTTGGGAGGCAGAGCCAGGCGGATCTCTGTGAGTTTGAAGCCAGCCTGGTCTACAGAGTGCGATCCAAGACAGGCACCAAAGCTACACAGAGAAACCCTGTCTCGGAAAAAAAAAAAAAAAAAAAAACTAACTCCCACGCTCGATTTTACCGGCAGCTTTAATGTGACCGGTTCTGAGGGGGTCTGCTCAATTGCCAGTGCTACGGTCCCGAATTAGAGCAGCTTCCTCGCTCTCTTAGTTACATTCTGCTTTCAACCATATTGATGCCATTAACCCCAGCTGCCAACGAGGCTGAGCCGGGGGGGGGGGGGGGGGGGGGGGGGGGGGGGATCGAAAGTTCAAGGCTTTCCCGAGACTGTTCCAAAAAGGCGGGGGCTGGGGATACAGCTGAGTGCTTGAACATTTGCCTCGCATTTTCCAGGCCCTGGGTTCAATCCCCAGTACTGGAAGGTGAAAAAAATTTTTTTCCCTATTTTTCTGTCTCCCTAGTCCTTTTGCAAAGCTAGAAACGCCCCGATCCTTCAAGATCACATTAGGGCACACGGAGTGGCGTTTCGGGCCTGTCTAACTCTTTGCTCCTTCTCTCGGTCCCAACAACACAGCCCAGGACTGGCTTTTCTGGGTGTGGTCCAGGGAAAGAGGGGGGATGCTGCCTTTATCTACGTTCCTTTGCTGGTCCTCGATCGCAGGCCCAGCCCAGCCCACGGCCGCGCCTCGGGACGGAGAGCGACCACCGGGCTCCAGCAGGTGGCGCTGTGGTCTGAGCTGCGGCTGCTGCTGCAGCTGCTGCTGCTGCTGCTGCTGTGGACCCGAGTCCTGAAGGCCTTACCCCCAGGGCCAAAGGCAGTGGAGAATCAGATCCAGAGGACCCAAGATGCTGCCCACAGCCAGACATCCGGGCGCCCACGCTCCACCCCACGTACCTTGCTCTCGCAGGAGCGCTCCGCCGTGCTCACAGATATGGCCTGGATCATCAGCAGCAGGACGAGCGGAATCAGGAAGCCCGCCGCGGGTGCAGCCACCAGGACGCTGACCAGCTAAGGAGCCACGCCCGGTCCAGCTCATCTTCCCCGCTCCACCGTTACTCCCCGCCACCCTCTCCGGAGCACCTCACCGTGGGCCTGCTTGTCCCTTTTAGACCTTCTTATGTGGCCCCACTGGGTTCTTAATGCTCCTTAGTTTTTGTTTCACTCCATCCGTTTCCTTACGCTCACCGGCCCACACTGAGCCTCTTCGGCTAGCTTCATCCATCACCGGGCTCCACCCTCGGAGAGCTCATCTCTCACCTGCCTCCACCCCTCCCCCACTGCTCCTCACTGGGGGGGGGGGGGGGGGTCCGTGGACATGTGTAGACAGATACGCCATAATCTTGTCCACCGAGAAGAGCAGATGGCTTGTACGAATCAGGAATATCAGGCAGGTGATGAGCAGGGCGCCCGAAGTAGAGGCAGAGGGACAGGACCAGCACCATAAAGAGGCGGAAGTTGCGGTGACCGATGCAGTTATTGACCCATTTGCAATGGTGATCAAAGTCCTGTGACAGGAAGAGGAGCAGGCCTCCAGGATCCGTCCTTTGGCCCAGCTTCCATCACCCCAAACAACTCAGCCCTCTAGGTCACTTACTCTCCCCCCCCCCACCCCACCCCCACCCCACACACACTGGCTTTCACCCCCCAGGGAGAATCCTGGTGACCGAAGTCCCTAATGCTGGCGTTTCTGGTTAGAACACAATCAAGACTCTGTGTCTTGACACTTATCCTGGTATATATAGCTTTCAGTCGGACAAAGACCATCTCTGGGTCTTTCCTTTCTCATCTATTAGGTGAAGATGAAAAAAAAAAATAGAAATAAAAAAAAACCCAGCCTGGCGCAGCCAGAGTCCCTCCTCTCATTTGTAAGCTGGTGTGCCAGTGCATGGAGACAAGCTTGCACAAACCCGGAGACCCAACTCAAACATCCAAAGGGCAGGGAAAGTCCTCAGACCAGGCCTGTAGCCAACTGAAGGGTGTAGATGCCCAGCGACAGCACACCAGAAGACGGACAGAGACAGTCTTCTCCGTCCCCTTCCCCGGGGCCAGAGCAAATGACAGTGCCCACGCTGACATGCCAGCCTCCCTGGACAGATGCAGGCACAGAGGTAGTGCCCTGTGTGAGGGACCAGGAACAGGGGGACTCGCAGTCATCCTTGGCCCTCATCAGTCAGGGAAAAGTCTCACGCCCACGGCGCGGGTCACATATGATGAGGCTTTAGGTTCTGGCCAGGTCTGGGTGACAGGTTAGCAGACAGGCAGGCAGCAAGGGGTCTCACCTCCACACATATGTTGCACCAGGGGCAGTGGTAGGTCCGGGGTGGGGCGATGAAAGCAGCACTTGGGGCACCACTGCAGGCGAGAAGGCCCTTTGATTCACCGCTCACCACGTACACCATCATGGGGTCCTCATCGACGGACGCCTGGCGTGGAAGAGGGATAGGCAGTATGTGCCCTGGGCAGCCCTACCAGCAGCCCTGGGCACAGGGAATGTTCCAGGAAGAGGTGGGTAAGGGAATCCCTGACCTAACGGAGCAAGCGGACCATCAGAGAGAGGGAGAGATGCTGGGGGGGCGTGCTCCAGCTAGCCTGGTGTAAAGAACTCTGCCTTTGAAACGGTGGCATTTGAGTTTTGCGCTGTAGTGGGACAAGGGAATGAAAGCCCCATGGTTTGGAAAAGCCTGCAGGCTTCCTTCTCCATCCTACGGAGCCCACCCTTCTGAAGCAATTGGAAAAATTCCAGGGTCCTGTTCCCCCACCCCCAACTCTACACCTTGGTGGCTCAGGAAATGAAATACTAGAGCCAGAACGGTACTGCCATGGAGTATAGAGGCCCCGAGGCTGGAGGTGGGGCACCGGCCTTGGGGTGCCACCTCCTCTTTCCAGGGGGCTGAGTCCTCACCTCGATGTAAGACACCAGGGTCTGAGAAGTTGAGCGAAACAAGACTGAAGAAGGTGAGGATGAAGAGCGGGCCTGTGACCATGGGAAAGACCCACTCTCCGTTCTGAGCCAGCCACCTACAACTGAGACCAGAGCCACTTTCAATCCTGAGCCGGAGCAGCCCAGAGCTCCTCCCCAGGCCCTGACCAGCCGGGTCAGGATTCACAGAGCTGAAAGCCAGCTCTAAGTATCCGGGCAAGCGACAGGCTCACCGAGGCCCCACCAAAGGTCACCGGCATTACCACCTCATTCACCCCCCCACCCCCACCCCCATCCCCATGCACCGATACTCCAAAACTCCGCACCTGCACGTGGCCCTCCAACTAGACAGCTGTTCCCTGGGCCTTCCATTACTCCTTCCTGCCTCCCCCTGCCTCTGTTTCCATCCTGTCTCCGTATAAGAAACCTAACAGATGACATGGGACACTTACGGGAACCAGAAGAAAAGGCCACTCAGAAAGACCAGCAGCATCACATTGAAGGCTGCGAAGAGACTCGGGAGGAACCATGGCCGCGGGACCACAGGCATCTGCTGTGACTCCTTCACACGCGTCATGTCCTCTTTGGGGAAAGGCATGGCTAGCGCCTAGAAAGAGACGGTTCGACTGGCCAAGTGCGCGCTGTGCAAGCATGAGGACCTCAGCTCGATCCTCGCTCGGGTCCCAGGTACAAGCAGGGTGTCTGAGTGTACACCGTGAGCAGCCACAAGAGGATCCTGGGGCTTACTGGCCAGGCAGTTCAGCCAGACAGCAAGCTCCAGAGTTCAGCGAGAGACCTTGTCTCAGAAAGTAAGGTGAGATTACTTAAGGAAGACAGCCGATTTTGGGATCGCACGCACGCACGCACGCACGCACGCACGCACGCGCGAAGGGAGAGGGCATGACTCTCATACTCACAGGACTCCTGATGACTCCCACAATTTGATTGCCCATAGCAACAGAAGCCACAGCCCAAGAGAGGAGAGCAAAAGTCTCATTGTGATGTCACAGAGGCAGAGGGATGGAGGCTGTGGCTGCTTGGGGGTCACTTTCAATAGCAGCCCTCCTCCCCATCACTTTACGCTGGAGTCTAAGACGCCCCCAGCCCTGGCTCGGAAGCTGCTGGGCTTTGTCCCCCAGAGGGCCACTTGCTGTGGCTCTGTTGGTGTGCTGGAGGTCTCAAGAGAGGGGTTACCAGGGACACTGACTGACTTTCAAAGGGATTGATGTAGTCCTCATGAGACGCCCCCCCCCCCCATTTAGCAGGTCATTATAAAAATCATAGGACTAAAAAAAACATTTAGCAGGTCATTATAAAAATCACAGGACTGACTCCTCCCCAGTCCCAGAATCTCTCTGTCATGTGACTTCCTGAGGAGATGGGAACAGACACTACTTCACCCCAGGCAGAGCTGATGACAGACCGAAGGACCGATGCCACCCAGATCTAGCTTGGTGAACCAGTAATCACTGAGGTTACTTACAGAAGCACAGTTGATTTAAAGATTTATTTATTATGTATACAGAAGAGGGCGCCAGATCTCCTTACAGATGGTTGTAAGACATCATGTGGGTGCTGGGAATTGAACTCAGGACCTCTGGAAGAGCAGTCAGTGCTCTTAACTCTCTGAGCCATCTCTCCAGGCCCAATAAGATTTATTTTAGTTTTGTTTATGTGTATGTGTGTGTCTGTGTGAGTGTATGCCGGGCGTGGGCAAGTGCCCTCAGAAGCCGGAAGAAAGCGTCAGAGCCCCTGGCACTAGAATCACAGGAGGCCCTGAGCTGCTCAACTTGGATGCTGGAAAGTGAACTTGAGATCCCTGGAAGAGCAGAGAGTGCTCCTCACCACCAGCCGTCCCTCCTGCCCTCCTTTTTTCAAAGACAAAGTCTCACTATGTAGTCCTGACTGGCCTGGACTCACTCTGTAAACCAGGCTGGCCTCAAACTCACAGAGATCTGCCTGCCTCTGTCTCCTGAGTGCTGGGACTAAAGGCCTGCACCACCACTTTAATTTCTGAGACTGAATCTCTTGGTGAACCTGGAGGTCACGAATTCTGCTAGGCTGACTAACCAATGTGCTCCAGGAATCTACCAGCTTCTGCATCCCCAGCCCTGGGGTTATAAACATCCATTGCTCCACCCAGGAGCTTCTAGCTGGTTGTCTCTTGTCTCCCATTTCACCATGGCGGAATTACAGAGGAGGGTAATCCCATAAGCTTTTTTACAAGAGTTTTAGAAACTGAACTCAGCTTGTAAGACTTGAGTATCTCGCTTGCACTTTTAGCCACTGATCTACCTCCCCAATACCTGCCCTCTAGTTTGAGATAGGGCCTCACTGCTAGCCTGGAGCTCATCATGTAGACCAGACTGACCTTGAACTCAGAGATCCACTTACTTCTGCCTCCAGAGTGCTGGGATTAAAGGCGTGTGTCATCATAGCCAGCTGTCCTCAGTCTTGAAATGTGACCTTTACAAATTTCCTCTGGAGCCTGGGGAGATGGGTCCTTTCAGTGAGTAAGCTACCTGCTGCACAAACGTGAGGATGTGAGCTTGGATCCTGGCATCCCTGTAAAAACCAGGCATGCAGGCACGTGTCTGTAACCCCAGAGCTGGGGGTGCAAAGGCAGGTAGATCCCTGGAGCTCACTAGTCAGTCAGCCTCAGTGAACTGGTGACCTCAAGGTTCAGTAAGAGACCCTGTCTCGAAAAATAAGGCGGAGAGCAATTTTAGGAGACACGTGATGCTGACGTGTGGCCTCCACATGCACAAGCAAACATGTATGCACCCTTGCATGTAGGCACACGTGCACACATCCGAGAGAACACACGCATATAAAAACAAATCAAATTTCATCTGATTCGATATGACAAGCCCATAGTTATGGAACGCAGACTCAACTTTATATGTAGAACATGAAAACAAAATCCTTGCAGAAATTTGGTGGCTGCTCTGTGACCTTACCAAGTGCTGTGTTGCTTATTGTCTGACCCTGGAAGGTTAGGGGCTGGGGCTGTGGGAGGAAAAGGGTGTGTCTGCATATATAGTACAAGCAAAACTTAGGAGAAGAAGAACTCTTGAGCCTGGCCTTGGAATGGCCAAGGAGATGGGTTCAGAAAAAAAAAAAAATCTAGAGTTTTAGAATCACCTAAATAACTTTTAAAAGTAATTAATACATTTTAAAAGATTTGATTAGGTATGGTATCACATACCTTTAATCCCAGCACTTGGGAGGCTGAGGCAGGTGGATCTCCGTGAGTTCAAGGCCAGCCTGGTCTACATAGCAAGTTCCAGGACAGCCAGGGCTACATAGGAGTAATCTGTTTCAAAAAAAAAAAAAAAAAAAGGAAAAACAAACAAAAAAGACTTCTTTCTTTTTATTTTTTGTGTATGTGTGTATGTGAGAGCCTGCATGCCCGGTACCTGTGGAAGCCAGGAAAGAGCTAAGGATTTTCCTAGAACTGGAGTTACATGTAGCCATGAGCCACCATGTAGGACTGAACTCAGATCCTCTGCACGAACAGTGTGTATTCTTAACCCCTGAGCCATCTCTTCAGCCCCTTGTTATTTACATTCTGTGGGAAGAGCATTTTTTCCCCAGCATTTTTTTTTTTTTTTTGGTTTTTCGAGACAGGGTTTTCTCTGTGTAGCTTTGCGCCTTTCCTGGGACTCACTTGGTAGCCCAGGCTGGCCTCGAACTCACAGAGATCCGCCTGGCTCTGCCTCCCAGTGCTGGGACTAAAGGCGTGTGCCACCACCGCCCGGCCATTCCCCAGCATTTTAAGTGCGTCTTGTACATGTAGTACCTTAGGGGACCAGAAGAGGGCAACAGATCCCCTGGAACTAGTTACAGGCAGTTGTGACCAGCCATGTGGGTGCTGGAAACCAAACCCAGGCCCTCTGCAAGAGCAGCTGGTGCTTTTAACCACTGAGTCATCTCTCTCAGCCCCACCTAACTCTTCAGACAGAATTTAGCTAGCTAATCTGTACAGTTCCAGATCTATTGAGCATAAAACAAGGGGGTCTTCAGGCACCTAATGTAAGCCCCTCAGGCCACAAGAGTGGCCAGGCCGCTCCCCTGAGGACCTCCAACTGCCAGGTTCCACCCCACAGAACACTCGAACTGCCCTAATGGCCAGACACTGCATCTACCCTTCAGAGTAAAAAGCCCAATCTCTGGACTTGAAATCCTACCAATCCTCACCCCAGGAAAGCTTCACCCTGAAAAGGTCCGCCCCCACCCCCAAGAAACTCTATATAAACCCTGCCTTCTGTTCAGTTGTGGGCTATTTCTCGCCTGAGCAGAGGCAGCCACCCTCCCGGTTTTTCCCCTCCCAATAAATCTCTTGTGTGAGGTTTGTTGTGCTGTGTGACTTTGTGGTATTCCCTGGCTCCCTGCTGCCAGGATACCTTTCCATCCGAGCTGTAACGCTCACACCCTGCATGTGTAAAACAAACCCAAACACAGAGCACAGCACACCTTCTGAAGCCCTTCCTCAAACTCACTCAGTTACTGTCACCCAAACTGGTCACCATGAAGTGCTACTTGGAGAGCCTTGACTAGTGGAGAAAATCGACTTAGAAAAACAATAATGCTGTGTCTGCGGGATAGTTGGCAATCAGCTGTAAACAGAGGCGGAGTTTTCTGTCCCGACCACTCGGTCCCAAATGAACACACAAAAGCTTATATTTATTACAAAATGCTCGGCTGATAGCTCAGGCTTATTGCTAACTAGCTTTTACATTTAAATTAACCCATTTCTATTGATCTGTGTACTGCTACATGGCCCTGGCTTTACCAGTCCTCTGGCATCTTGCTTCTTGGGTGGCTTGCTCGAATCTCTCTTGACCCCCGCCCCTCTTCATCTGAGTCCTCGTTTGATTGTTCCGCCTCACTTTATCCTGCCTTGCCATAGGCCAAACAGCTTTATTATTAACCAATGGGAGTAGTACATATTCACAGCATACAGAAGGATCTTCCCGCAGCAATCAGGACTGTAAATCTTGTGAAAAGTACGTTTGTGGCTAATTTTCGGTACCTAAAAGAAACGTGAAAAGTAGTCACGGGGCCTAAAAGGCCCCCAGCCACTACACAGGGGCTGCTCTTCCAGAGCACCTAGCTTCCGTTCTCAGCACCCACGGCGTGGCACACTTAACCACCTGTAAGCTCACTTCAGGGGATCCAGTGTCCCCCATTGGCCCTCTGTGGGCACCACACACACATGTGGCATAGACACACACAGACACATTCACAAAAGTAAAAATAAATCTTAACAAAAAGTAATCAACCAGGCAACACAGTCACTTGAAAGCTAGCTAAGACAGAACTTAATCAGGTCAGCTGGAAATAAGGGTTTGAAAAGTCTGGGACTTTCTGTGTGTGATAATTAACTAGCTGCTTCCAGACGATAATGAGAGCCCTTGATAAAATCTCATCGATTTGGGTCAGAATACTGTTCCTCTAGATAGTTACCAAGCTAACCCAGACACCTGCCAAGCAGAGCACTGCCCCCCCCCACTTTTTTGTTTTGTTTTGTTTTGTTTTTTGAGAAAAGGTTTGTCTGTGTAGCCCTGGCTGTCCTAGAACTCACTCTGTAGACCAGGCTAGCCTTAAACTCAGAAATTTGCCTGTTTCTGCCTCCCTCCCAAGTACTGGGATTAAAGGCATGTGCCACCACGCCCTGCTCAGAAAGCCCTTCTTAAATAAGATAGTTTTTCTTTTACCTCTTTATTTTTCCTCCCCGCCTCTTTCCCTATCAAGTTTTTACCAAGAGTGATGTCTTTCAGCTACATTGAGAGCAATGTCTGTTGCCAGCTAGGTAGCACCAAAGGCTTGTTCCCATTTCTTCTCTCTCTCTCTCTCTCTCTTTCTCTCTCTCTCTCTCTCTCTCTCTCTCTCTCTCTCCTCTCTCTCTCTCTCTCTCTCTCGTGAGACAGGCTCTCATAATGCATCTTAGGCTGGTCTAGAATCCCTTATGTATCCCAGGCTGGCCTCAGACTCACAGCTGTCCTCCCGTCTCAGCCTCCTACCACCATGGCTGGCTTGAGTTTCATTTCTTCTCAAAGCCGTATAACAATTCACGGTGTGCCACATTTTTTTTATCCACTCATCTGCCAGTAGATGTTTAGGCTGCTCCCGTTTTGGCTACTGTAAACATTGCTGTCATGGATGTCTGTTTGCAAATACTTATTCAAGTCCCTTCACCTTTCCTTAAGGACATGTGTGAGGAAGTAGCATGCTGGGGCATATGGGAATTGTGTGTTTAATTGAGGAATTACCATTGTGCTCTCCAGAGCAGCGGGACCATTTTAAATTCCCACCAGTGTGTAAGTGTTCCCACCCCCCACATCTTACCTAACACTTTGTTTCCTAACTTTTACTTTAAAAAAAAAAAAATGTGTAGCCGGGTGGCAGCAGCGCACGCCTTTAATCCCAGCACTCGGGAGGCAGAGCCAGGTAGATCTCTGTGAGTTCAAGGCCAGCCTGGTCTATACAGCAAGCTTCCAGGACAGGCACCAAAACTACACGAAGAAGCACTGTCTCGAAAAATAAAACAAAACAAAACAAAAAAAATGTGTATAGGTGTTTTGCTTACATGTACATATGTGTGTCATGGGCATGCCTGGTACCTGCGAGGCTAGAAGGGGGAACTTGAGTTACAGAAGGTTGGGAGCCACCCTGTGGGTGCTGAGAATCGAACCCAGGTCCTCTGGAATAATAGCCAGTGCTCTTAAAGTGCTGAGCCACCTCTCCAGCCCTATAATAACCATTTCCAATGGGCATGTCACAGGCAGCTCATTGTACTTTTAAAATCTTAACAAAAATTCAAAAGGAAGCATGATTCTTATGTGCAGAAAAGTACAAAATGCAGTTGAGAAAGACAGAGGACTCCTAGATGAGTAACGGTCCTAAGCTGATGATTGAAAGGCTTGGCACCCTCAGGACAGCGCTAGCCTCCAATAGTTCATACATCAGTGCGGTTCCCTTCTTCCTTTCGTCTTTTCTTTCAAGACAAGATCTCCTGTACCCCAAGCTGGCATCCACGTCCCTCTAGAACCAAGGATGACTGTGAACGTCTGACTCTCCCACTTACACCTGAGAATGCTGGCACTCCAGGATGCTGCCCCACACCTGGCTTATGGGATGCCAAGGATGGAAACCCAGAGCTTCGTGAGTACCAGGCAAGCGCTCTACTAACTTAACTACATCCCTGATGTGGGGTACTCACCAGAGAAGACTGTTCAGACACGCATTTAAGTCAATAGGAAGTCTTTATTAGCCGGCCGGTAACTATACTGGGTGCTCAGGATCTCGGTGTATCCCTGAACCTTTCTCACGATGAGCTTTTAAGCACAAAAACCATGTTCTGGATTGACACGCTTCAGTTAACAAGAACAGTTAGCCAGAAGCAGAGCTACAGAAGCTAAAAAGCAAGGTTTTGGCAGGAGATGCTGTCTGCATGCTGAGTGTTACAGGCTGAATAGTACTTCCATCATGGGGTCAGTTATGCTAAGGCCTGGAGCCCTGTTACAATCCCCAGCCCCAATCCATGCAACATCTGTCAAAATTCCATAAATGTATAAGTGTTTCCCTTCACATGTATGTCTGTATCATATTCGTCATGGTACTGGAGTTGTAGATGATTGTGAACTGCCATTAGGATGCTGGGAATTGAACCCAGGTCCTTTGTAAGAATAAATGCTCTTAACCACTGAGTCATGTCTCCAGACAAAGAGTAGTCTTATCAATAAACAGTGCTAGAACAACTGAATGAACATTCATGTGTAAAAGAGGTAACCACAGCTGGGCATGGTGGCGCACGCCTTTAATCCCAGCACTTGGGAGGCAGAGGCAGGCGGATCTCTGTGAGTTCAGAGACCAGCCTGGATTACAGAGCAAGTTCCAGGACAGCCAGGGCTACACAGTGAAACCCTGTCTTGGGTGGTGGTGGGGGAATGGATTCTATTGACTGACAATGCTCAGGATAAGGGTCTATGTTGTTTTTAACAAATTTTCAATCATTTGGTTTTACCAGTAATGCTGGGGTGAAAGCCTGCTAGCTCAGAGAGGCAGAGAAAGCACCCAGCTGATCTTCCTCCTCAGACAATATCCCAGTAGTCTCTCCTTTCTCCTATGCCATCTCAAAAACTCTTCTCAAACTGAATGTCCCTCCCATCTACTTCCTGTGCATCTCTATCCATGCTCCTGACTCCCCCTTACTCTCTCTGTTTTTTTTCTTAATAATCCTATATTCACTTCCTGCCAATGGTTGCTCCCTCTGCCTGGGGTTGATCTTAATGTAGGGAAAATGGGCTGACTAAAGAAACCCACTTTGACCCTGGAGCCCAGACCCAGGGAAGGAAACACAGCCTGGACCTTAGACCTGAGTCAGAGAAAGAAAAACTTTATCCCCAAACCCAGAACCAAAGAGTCATGCCCTGACTCTGAAACCAGTACCAAAGAAAACACTCTTGGTCCCTAGAATCAGAGACAGTGAAAGAAATATGCCCTAGCCTTAGAATTAGAGTCAAAAAAACCAAGAAAGGCCAGTGAAAGAAACACAGTTTGGCTTTGAAATCAGGGCCATCTCTGCCCCTAACCCACAAAACTAACCAATCCCTGGTTAACTCTGTCCCCCGCCCCGTTAGATCCTATATAAACCACCCTGCCTGGACAGTTGTGGACTGTTCTCTCCACCCTGATAGAGGCAGCCACCCTCCTGGACTCCTCCTTTCCAAATAAATCTCTTTCTCAAAAGAGTCTTGGGTGTGAAGATCTTTCATTCATCAGCACAAAGAAGATTGCTAAGACGTCCCATAGTGGACTGAGCAGACAAAACCTTGCTGATGCCGGGCGGTGGTGGCGCACTCGGGAGGCAGAGCCAGGCGGATCTCTGTGAGTTCGAGGCCAGCCTGGGCTACCAAGTGAGTTCCAGGAGAGGCACAAAGCTACACAGAGAAACCCTGTCTCGAAAAACCAAAAAAAAAAAAAAAAAAAAAAAAAAAACCTTGCTGAGACGTCCCCTCGGGACTGAGCAAGGGAGAGCTGAAAAAGTAACAACTTTTCACCGAGCCGGAGGAGATTGCTACATATCTGCAGGGGTTTCTCCCTTAGCAGAGTGAAGCAAAAGAAGCAACATCTTGAGCCAGAGAAGCGGAGCTCTGCTAGGCAGCCCCTTAAGTGCCAGCTGAGCTCTGCAGCTCTGCAGGAGAGGAACAAGATTGCTGTATTCTGCTGGGAGACCATTCCCCATTGCACCAGGTATATCCTGACTCCTGAACAGTCAGGATACCTTTCCCTCCAGGGCTGAGCTGTCCCATTGCAGCTCCAGCTGCCAGAGCTGTCCTAGCAGCTCAAGGTGTCACATGACTCCCCAAACAGTCAGGATACCTTTCCCCTAGAGTTGCAACACTGTTACTTATGCTTACCCCTGTTTACAATAGTCAAGCGGAAAGCTCTTAGATTAAAGGTGTGTGCTAGGGCTGAGCCACACCACAACCAGAAACAGATTTTTCCAGTAGATGACACAGTCTCAGGGGTTCGAGATGTGATCAAATATCCTGCAACAGGTCTAGGGAGGAAGGTCTGGAATAAGCATAATATAAGCTCCTTTGTAAAGTACATGGGACCTCTTCCCTAAGAATGGGCTCTGGTGCTTGACAGTGCTCAGGAACCCGGGGGATCCAGGTGAGGCCTGGCTCTATGGCTAGCCAAAGATCACCCGGTTATTAACAACATCCTCCCCCTCTTCTGGGTAGAAAGCAGGTATGCACACCCCTTTCATCAAAGAGGCAAGCCTGTGTGCTTATCATTCCTGGTTTCTCTAGTGCTTATCTGTGAGTATGAGGACCTCATGCCCTCTACAAGGATCCTGTACACAAGAGTACATTATCAGGGATCCTGTACACAAGAGTACATTATCAGGATCCTGTATACAAGAGTTCATTATCAGGATCCTGTACACAAGAGTTCATTATCAGGGATCCTGAACACAAGAGTACATTATCAGGATCCTGAACACAAGAGTTCATTATCAGGATCCTGTACACAAGAGTACATTATCAGGATCCTGTACACAAGAGTTCATTATCAGGGATCCTGTACACAAGAGTTCATTATCAGGGATCCTGTACACAAGAGTTCATTATCAGGATCCTGAACACAAGAGTACATTATCAGGATCCTGTACACACGAGTGCATTATGGGGCAGCTGCAGTAGAAAACCGTGTGGTGGACCTCAGAAACCTAAGAAATGAACTACCGGTTGCCCGAGCAAGCCCGTTGCAGAGTATGAAGCAAAGCATCTCTCAGCAGAGTCTCTGAGATGTACTCGGAACAATACTGCTCACAGCGGTTAAAACTCAGCGTCCATCAATGGACAAGTGGGCAAACGAAACAGAGGAGGAAACTTCATTCAGCCTTACCAGAGAAGAAAGCGCTGCACGCTACATGACGCATAGACCCTGACTAATTTGATAGCATTCTGCTAAACAGACCACCACAAAAAAAGGAAATACCGCATGACATAGCTACATGTGTTAAGTTTTTTGGTTGTTGTTAACATTTTGTTTGTTTATTAGTGTAGAGATAGAATTTTATTCGGTAGCCTCGGCTGGCCTCCAAGCTAAAAATGAAATAACACAATGAAGTCATTACTTTATATAATTAACATATGCTAATTTAAACTACTGAAAAGTAAACAAAGGCTGATGGGTTCTTATTAGTTCTAAAAGTGTGGTTGACAGTAGCTAGCTGTCAGGCCTGGAGGCCCAGGAGAAGAACTTGACTGGCCCCGCTGGGCCTCTCTAGCTGAGAGGGACTGGCCTTGAAGAACAGAGCTCGCACCCTGATCTGATCTCATGGGCACGCTGTAAAGAAACAGCCACTTAAGAGACTTTAGGCAGCATTATTCAATTTCCATGCGATTGTAGGCTTTCTGTAAATTCTGTTTAAGCCATGGTGGTTCCATAAAATACAGGCGGTTATGCCAATTATTTTGTATCTGTTGAGATTTGCTCTGTGACCGAGTGTGTGGTCGATTTTAAAGAAGGTTCCACGGGGTGCTCTTTTTTTTGTTAGGGTGGAACGTTCTGCAGATATCTGTTAAGTCCATTTGAGTCATAACATCTGTTAGGTCCCTTATTTCTCGGTTAAGTTTTCAGTCTGGCAGATCTGTCCATTGGTGAGAGTGGGGTGTTGGAGTCAGCACAGAGCCTTTCTCCAGTGACTGAGGGAAGCAGATGCAGAGAGCCACAGCCAAACACCAGGCCAAGCCCCAGGAGTCCAGTCAAAGGAGAGAAGAGGGATTCTATGAACAAGGGGGGTCAAGATCATGATGGGGAAATCTACAGAGACAACCAAACCAAACTAGTGGGAACTCGAATTTAGACCAACAGCTGTGGAACCTGCATGGGATTGGACTAGGTCCTCAGCATAAGTGAGACAGTTGTGTAGCTTGATCTGCTTAAGGGGCCCCTGGCAGTAGGATCAGGATCCATCCCTGGTGCATGAGCTGGCCTTTTGGAGCCCACTACTTATGATATGACACCTCGCACAGCCTTGAGGCAGGGGGAGGGGCTTGGACCTGCCTCCACTAAATGTACCTCCCATGGGAGACCTTACCTTCTTGTAGGAGGGAATGGGGGGGTGGGTTGGGAGGGGGAGGTTGGAGGGGCAAGAGGAGGGAAGAGGGGGGATCTTTCATATGTAAAATGAATAAAAAATGTTCTTAATTAAAAAAATTTTTAAAAGGAATAAAATTTTAAAAAGGGAAGAAAAAAAAAAGACTTTGGGTAGGACAGGAACACCCATCAGGTTGTCTCCCTCCACCTGTGCCCAGTGAGAAATGGTCATCTCTCATGGAGCTTACCAGTGTCCAGCCTGGCCTCAGGTCCCCCTACTCCTTCCTACCTCCCCACCCCGTCTGGAGGATATTTCCTCCAGGGAAGTCTAAAGTTCAGGCTGTGTGTAGTATAAGCTCAAGGCTTCTTAACAGCCACAGATGAATGACCTGAGGCATGTTCTAGTGGAAGTCGCTTGAGTCAGCTTGTGCCTGTTAGGTGTGGCCGAGGCCATTGACCCCCCGCCATCAGCACCCTTACCCCCTTTTCCTGCCCTTCCCTCCACCCCAGGAGGTCACCGGCCCCGGAGCCTCCTACTCCTGGTCTTATAGTGTCTTGTCCTGAGAACTGTGCTTTATACGGAGGGTAAACTGTGGCACTCAAGAGACCTGGCGAAGAGTTTGGGGAAAAGGCTCCTGCCATGCCTGCTAAGGACCCAACACTCCCAAGGACCCTGGTCTCACTACCGAAAACCTCCCACTCAGCCTCCACAGCTGAGCCCCCACTACCCCAGGTGCCTTTGCCTCTGTTCACGCCCATGACACTCTAGCCTGGTTTCTTTTTTTTTCTTTTCCTTTTTTTTTTTCCCCAGAGCTGAGGACCGAACCCAGGGCCTTGTGCTTGCTAGGCAAGTGCTCTACCACTGAGCTAAATCCCCCACCCCTCTAGCCTGGTTTCTTAACCTCCTTTGACCTGAGCTTTGTCTGTGAAATGGGAATAAAGACCATGCTCGCATTATAAGAGGGTGATAAGGTTTAGATGAGGAACAGTCTCCATTTCCCACAGTGCCTGGCAGACCTGAAACACCTGCTGCTGTTACTCTGGTTTCTTATTTTGTCAGTGGTACAAGCAACTTCCAAGGAACTCATAGTGTGCACCAGGCTCTATCCGGGGATCTAGGGGTCGGCACACTGTGCTCAGCCTCGAGGAGTTAAAATCTATTTGGAAGGAGAAACCACCAACCAACAAAATACTTCTTTAAAAAAATATTTATTTATGTATTCTTTTTTCTTAAATTTTATTTGCATTGATGTTTTACCTGCGTGTGTGTCTGTGTGAGGGTGTCAGATCTTGGAGTTATAGACAGTTGTGAGCTGCCATGTGGGTGCTGGGAGCTGTCAGTGTTCTTAACTACTGAGCCATCTCTCCAGCCCCTATGTATGTATTCTTTAATGTATGAGTGCTCTATCTGCATGTACACCTGCAGGCCAGAAGAGGGCATCAGACCCCACTATAGATGGTTGTGAGCTACAATGTGGTTGCTGGGAACTGAACTCAGGACCTCTGGAAGAGCAGCCTGTACTCGTAACCACCGAGCCATCTCTCCAGCCCAATAAAGAAGCTCTTAAGCATAAAACTTGGAGTAAGGGTGTGTGGGTGTGGATGTGAGTGGGAGTTGGTGTGAGTGTGGGTGTGCATGCCTCTGGAGGCAGAGGTCAGCATGGGCTGTCTTCCTCAACCTCTCTCCATCTTGTTTGTTTGTTTGTTTGTTTGTTTGAGAGAGGGTTTCTCTATGTAGTCTTGGCTGTCCTGGAACTCACTCTGTAGCCCAGGCTGACCTCGAACTCATATCTGCCCACCTCTGCCTCCTGAGTGCAGGGATTAAAGGCGTGTGCCACCACTGCCTGGCCCCATCTTATTTTTTTTTTAATGGGGTCTCTCATTGAACCCAGAGCTCACCAATTCAGCTAGATTGGATGGCCAGCAGGCCCCAGGAGTCCTCCCATCTCCACTCCCCAGATATAGGGTTACAAGCACATGCTGCCACACCCAGCATTTTTTTTTTTTTTTTTTTTTTTTTGTGGTTTTTCGAGACAGGGTTTCTCTGTGTAGCTTTGCGCCTTTCCTGGATCTCGCTCTGTAGACCAGGCTGGCCTTGAACTCACAAAGATCCTCCTGCCTCTGCCTCCCGAGTGCTGGGATTAAAGGCGTGCGCCACCACCGCCCGGCCCACACCCAGCATTTTTATGTGGTTGTTGAGGGTCAAATTCAGGTCCTTTCTTCCGAGGGTGCGAGGATTCGTACTTACAGACCAAGCCATCCCCTCAGCCCTAATTCGGCCTTTTAAAAGAAGCCCCGTTAACGCACAGAAACCTGTGTGCTCTGGCAGATGCAATGCAGCCTCGGCTTGGCTTGCTCTTCGGGTCCAGGTGTGACTAAGCCGGTTCTCAACCCAACATGGGCTGACCTTTAAGAAGCAAACCCATGATCCTCCTGCCTCTGCCTCCTTCAGCAAATCCTACCGGTGCGCGCCACCACAGCCGGGCAGTGGTGGCGCACGCCTTTAATCCCAGCACTCGGGAGGCAGAGGCAGGTGGATCTCTGTGAGTTCGAGGCCAGCCTGGGCTACCAAGTGAGTTCCAGGAAAAGCACAAAGCTACACAGAGAAACCCTGTCTCGAAAAACAAAACAAAAAAAAAAAAAAAAAAAAAAAAAAAGAAGCAAACCCTGAGCCTGGCGATGGTGGCGAAGGGTTTTAATCCCAGCACTTGGGAGGCAGAGGCAGGCAGGTTTCAGTGAGTTCAAGGCCAGCCTGATCAATATAACAAATTCCAGGTTAGTCAGCACTACATATCGAGACCCTGTCTAAAAAGCAGCAGCAGCAAGGACTCATAGCAGGATACTAGACATGAAACAAGGATGACTTGTCTGCTACTCACATCACCAGGGAGGCTACCTGGAAAACAGGACCCCAAGAAAGACACAGGGATCGCCCAATGACAGAGAAATGGAATGAGATCTACATGAACAGCCTGGACATGAGTGGGGGTAATGAAAGGCGAGGGTTGAGGGAAAGAGAGCTTGGGGGAGCGGGAGATCCCAGCTGGATCAACAACAGAGAGGGAGAACAAGGAATAGGAGACCATGGTAAATGAAGACCACATGAGAATAGGAAGAAGCAAAGTGCTAGAGAGGCCCACAGAAATCCACAAAGATACCCACACAACAGACTGCTGGCAATGGTCGAGAGACAGCCCGAACTGACCTACTCTGGTGATGGGATGGCCAAACACCCTAATTGTTGTGCTAGAAACCTCATCCAACTACTGAGGGATCTGGATGCAGAGATCCATGGCTAGGCCCCGGGTGGATCTCTGGGAGTCCAATTAGCGAGAATGAGGAGGGTTTATATGAGCGAGAATTGTTGAGACCAAGGTTGGATAAAGCACAGCGACAAATAGTCAAACGAATGGAAACACATGAACTATGAACCAATGGCTGAGGGGTCCCCACTGGATCAGGCCCTCCGAATGGGTGAGACAGTTGATTGGCTGGATCTGTTTGTGAGGCATCCAGGCAGTGGGACCAGATCTTGTGCTCTTTGCATGAGTTGGCTGTTTGAAACCTGGGGCCTATGCAGGATTGTTTGGCTCGGCCTGGGAGGAGGGGACTAGACCTACCTGGACTGAGTCTACCAGGTTGACCTCAGTCTGTGGGGAAGGCTTTGCCCTGGAGGAGATGGGAATGGGGGGGGGGGGGGTTGGGGGGAAGGTGAGGGGGATGGGAGGGGGGAGAACAAGGGAATCCGTGGCTGATATGTAGAACTGAATTGTATTGCAAAATAAATTAAAAAAAAAAAAAAAGCAGCAGCAGCAGCAGCAGCAGCCTCCTCTGACCTTTCCCCACAGCGGCAAAGCCACACACCCAGACACAGCCAGGCCTCAGCCCTGAGTCTCTCATTTCCAAGGGACCAGAGCCTATGCTTCTGCCTGAATCACCCGGAGTTACTGACCAAACGAGGACTTTGTTCCTCTCTCCTGGGCCTGACGGGGGACATTCTGTCTTGGATCCGGTGAGCCTTAGAAGGCTCCTTAAGGGAGTATGAAGTTGGAAGGGTTGGGTAGTCCGGGGACAAGGAGTGATCAAAGTATCGGACTGAGGGAGGTGGGAGGGACCAAGCCTAACCAACCTGCAGGGAGGAGTAAGGAGTCCGGGAACTCCTTCAACACAGAGGATCAAATTCCTCCGGGGTGAACTCTGAGATAAAAGGCTGACACTGGAGGCTTCCGGAGGCAGAGAGAGCAAGGGAGACTGTCCACTTTCTCCTTAGCCCTGGCCCAGCGATCAAGGCCATTCGCGCCACAGTGCGGGACAGAAACCTCCCCACTCCTCAGGGCTCCCGGCTGCCGGCCCTGCCTGGCCCTCCTCACCCTCAGTGTCTGCCCGAGAGAACAGAAGGATGGAGCCCGGCAGGACTCAGATAAGACTTGACCCCAGGTAAGGGAGGGCGGCAGGGCTTGGGCTGGGAGCCAGTTGCTAAGAAACAGCAGCCTCCCCTATCTCTCTGGCCGGTCCCTCCCTGGCTGCCTCACGGGGCCCCTTCGCTTTCCAGCACTCAGAACAAGATAAGATTGCAAAGTGCCTGTGAGTCCCCTGGGCTTCAGGGAAACTGGGATTGGATGGGGCTGCAGAAGGCCCTCCTGGACATGCACAGAGCCGCTGACCAACAGTGGGCAGGCCCGTCCCTGGTGCTCTGGGACTGCTTTTCCTTCCTTCCTTCCTTCCTTCCTTCCTTCCTTCCTTCCTTCCTTCCTTCCTTCCTTCCTTCCTTCCTCCCTCCCTCCCTCCCTCCCTCCCTCCCTCTCTCTCTCTTCCTTCCTTCCTTCCTTCCTTCCTTTTCTTCCTTTCTTTCTTTTCTGACAGAGTCCTATCATGTCACTATGTAGTTGAAGTTGGTCTCAAACTAAGATCCTCCTGCCTCAGCCTCCCTCCCGGTGCTGGGGTTACAAGCCTGCATTACCATGCCTGGCTAAGGGACCACTCTTTCTCTTGGACCCTGCTCACCCTCACTGGCAGCTTATTGTATACTCTAACCTAAGCCAGTTCTCCAGGGCCTCGAGGAAAAATGGACTAGCTCCTTGCACTCAGGAGTGTTAAATGTGTATCAGACGGTCTAGTCTGCCACACCCCTTCCCCTGGTTCTGAGCAATCCTGTGTCTCTCCAGGTACACAGCGGATCTTCTGGAGCTCCTGCAAACCAATTACAGCATCTCCCCTGCCTGTTTCTCTTACCCTCCCACTGCAGCCCAGCTCCTGAGAGGTGAGTCGGGGGCCCCCCCTGGAGGAGTTGAAAGCAGGACATGTGTACCCCAGAGGGAAGTCAGGACAACTGGGGGACCTGAAGAGAGCTGGTTCACATCTGGCCAGCCTGAGAGGATGGCTGGCCCCATGTTCATAACGGCTAAGGCCCTGGAGAAGGTCAGTTCTCCCAAGGAATCAGTGGGCTATCATGAGACATGAAAATTTAGCCCAGGAGACAAACCGGAGCCTGGTCCTCCACCCACCCCAGCCTCACGACACATTCAAACTGGGACGCTAGGATCTGGGACATTCATTTGTGTTTCCAGCGTTCAAGGTGGTACCCGTATAATAGGCAAGCCTCACAATTCCCCTGGAGCGTTCACATACTCCCTACGAGAGCTCTCAGCTCTGCAGAGGGGTGGCTGCTGTGAGGAGTGGGTTTGACTTGCATGAGTCTGCGAACTTGTCCGCCCAGTGTTGAACTGCTTTTGAAAGTGTTAGGCATCGGATGGAGCTGAGCTCTGGCCTTCTGCCTCCAAACTACTGAGAACAAAGTGGCCTGTGTGCTTCTAGGAGGGAAATGATCAAGCCAGTTTTATCTCGTCTCCTACACCATAATTAACCATTTCGGAAATGTGTGGCTTCTTCCAAAATAGACGCCTCCCAAGCAAGGGGATGCTGTCATGTGCCGTGGGAAGCGGATGCAGCCAGGTCCTTGGGCTAAGGATAGCTCTGTTTCAGATGCTCTGAGCCAGAGTATCAGCAACTGCAGGTGTCCAGAGATGCCTGGTGCATTCTGTGGTCAGTGCCAGCAGGTGGCTGCCGCATCTAGCTCCAAGCACCTCATATTTAGAGAGTGGAGCTGGTGGGACATAAGTCACCTTACATAGCTCAGGAGGTATTTGGCATGTCTGCAGACAGTTTGAGTGGCCACGCTGGAGGTTGCCTGCCCTTAGTATCTAATGGGTAGGTTTTAAGGAGGCCACTATACCACCTGCAAGTTATATTACAACCCTCCACAGTACAGCCCCCCCCCCACAGTACAGCCCCCACAGTACAGCCCCCCACAGTACAGCCCCCCCACAGTACAGCCCCCACAGTACAGCCTCCACAGTACAGCCCCCACAGTACAGCCCTCCACAGGAATCAAAGTGTCAGTATTACTTGGCCTCTGAAACGTTGCCTCACACCACACACTAATTCTCGTACCTCCTGGCTACCACGTGAGCAGGTAGAGGATTTAGAAACAAGTTTTGGAAACAAGGATTTGGAAACAGGTTGACTCTCTGGGTCTCACAGTCAAGTAGGCTGCCTGGTGAGGCTGGAGCAGGAGGATTTGGGGAGTGCAGAGTGGGGATGGTGATAGAATGGGCCAGTGCGTTCCCCACACTGGGAAGCTACACACATCTGGCAAGGTTGGTTACTAGCGGAGGAGCTTGGGGCATTGAGAGGGCTGGGCAGGTGAGGTGGGGCCTGAATAGGGTTAATCCTGGAGGTTGTACTTTATCCTCAAGATGGAGCCACAGGTGAGGGCTGTAAGATTGGGAGGGGCTGGATGGAGTGGTTCAGGACCTTTAATCAGTAATCAGAATGATTTGGGGGGGAAGAGCCTTGGGAGAAGCAGGGATGAAACCAAGCGGTTGTTGACCCTCTGGAGCAGGCAGGAACAGAGGCTGAACCTGGGCAGCAGGAAGGAAGGAAGTGGGAAATACTGCTGACACAAAGCAGGAGCCCTGGTAAATATTTAGACAGGAGAGTGATCCTGAGCAGTGACGATGACCCACAGGAGACTCGGAGAGGAAGGGGGATGTGGGGAAACTCCGTCCAGCTTCTCTGTTTCTTAGGTGGTTAAAGGGCTATTCTAGAACTATTACAGCTTTTAATGACCAGGTTTTTTTAGAGTTTGTAATACGATTCTGTTATAACCTTTAATTTTGTTTTAAATTAAGCTGACCTAAACGTTTATCTAGAAAAGCCAGGACGGTTTGGGGAAGGGGCAAAAAGGGAGGCTGCCTTGCCAGCAATGAAGGCTGTGTCAGGCTTGTGGCTGTTGAAGCAATGAGGTCACAATGGCAAAGGGCCTGGAGGAGAAAAACAGCAAAGCATCAGGTCCAGAGGCAAAGCCAGGCCTCCATGAGGGGTCCACACAGAAGGATGCTGTGGGACATGGGTCCACACAGAAGGATGCTGTGGGACATGGGGTCCACACAGAAGGATGCTGTAGGACATGGGGGTCCACACAAAAGAATGTTGTGGGACATGGGGGTCCACACAGAAGGATGCTGTAGGACAGGCTCCTAGGAAGATGTGCAGAACAGCTGCCTATGCCCAAGGAAATCAATACACAGGAAATTAACTTTAATTCGGGCAGATTAAGGACATAAACATAAAATGAAAACTTTTTTAATTAAAAAAAGTAGAAATTGTCTTTATGATTAGAAACAGCAAATCATTTTTCAAAATTCAAGAAAGGGCCAGTGAGATGGCTCAGCGGGTAAAAGTTCTTGCTGTGAAAACCTGAAGACTGGAGTTTGATACCCAGGACCCATGTTTAAAAACAAACAAACAAAAAAGAAGGTGATGAAGCGGCAGCCACACCTGGCATAATATATAATACCTGTGAATAGCATATAGTACCCATGAAACCTAAACTTCCCCTCTCCTCCAGCCCAGCAGTTCTAATTCCAGGCATATGCCAGAGAAAGTCTCCTATCTAGGAGACACACCCAAGGATGCCAATTGCAACATCAGCTTCTCATGATGAAAGCAGTAAAAGTTATAGAAGTAAGGTTGGGCAAAAAACATTTAGAGAGAGGCAGGCAGATCTCTGTGAGTTCAAGGCCAGCCTGGGCTACAAGAGTGAGTTCCAGGAAAGGTGCAAGGCTACACAGAGAAATCCTGTCTCGAAAAACAAAACAAACAAACAAAAAAGCATTTAGAGTTTGTAAGATGCCATTTGCATAAACTATTTATTACATATATATTATTGTGATTATTTATTTATTATTAGTCTCTTGAGACAGGGTCTTGCTGTGTAGTCCTGGCTGTTCTAGAACTTTCTCTGTAGACTAGGCCTGTCTTGTACTCACAGAGATCCACCTGCCTCTACCTCCTGAGTACTGAGATTAAAGGCTTGCACCACCACTGCCCTGCTTAGCCTGCATTCTTACAGAAGCCAGGCCCACCAGTTCAGGGGTGGCGCCACTCCAATGGGCTGGGTCCCTCCACCATCAATCACTAATTAAGAAAATGCCCTAAAGGACTGACCACAGTCTCATCTTATGGAGGCATTTTCTCAGTTGACGATCCCTCCTCTCTGATGAGTCCGGTTTGTGTCAAGTTGAATAGCAAGCATACTTAGAGAGCAGTTACTGTTACTGTTACTTGGCAACAGAACAGAGAACAGCCCGACACAGCCCCTGCCTTGGAGGTAACATGAAAGTATAGAAAGATGTAAAGAACCTCACTGAGCTGGGCAGGCCTCATCATGCAGGCTGCCTGGGCATGGGGGCTGAAGTCTCAACACTGGAACAGAGAACACAGCCCCAGGAGCCAGCCAAGCAGAAGCCAAAGAGAAAGTCCTCGAGGGCAGAAACAGCTCAGCGTGGCTGCTGGAAGGATGGGAGAGTGTGGCAGTGAAATCTTCAGCCCGAAACACAGAGAAGAGCTGAGATGACAGGGTTTTTAATTAGTGTGGGATAATTATGCACATGGATGGAGTATGGGGTGGTATTTCAATATGCATATATAGAGTACACTGATCAAATCAGGGTGGCTAACTTCTCCAGCTCCATGTCTTTCCGTTTGGAACCTCCAAGCCCCTATTTCTAGTCTTTCATAAAATGTCAACTAGTTTTTGCGAACTATAGTCACCCTAGTGGACGGTGGAACCCTAGATGTCCCTCCTGTCTCCCTCTGTAGGCTCCCTCTGCCTTTCTGCGTCTGGAGAATGCAGGCTGTGGAGATCCCAGTCCAGAGGCCAGGGGGAAGCCGGGCCAGTCCAGAGGCCAGGGGGAAGCCGGGAATGGGCTTCTGGGAGATTTCCAAGAAGGGAGATGACAGGGTATGAGCTTTGGGGTGCTTGTGTGAGCACATCATTGCACAGCATATGCTATGTCAGAATATGCACAGCTATATCACCCTTAAAATGGAAAATTTAAAAAATTTCAGGGGTTAAGGGGGATAGGTCAATGGGTCAGTCACTTGCCACATAAGCATTAAGGGCCTGAGTTCAGATCCCCAGCACCCATATGAAAAGCATGGCGAGGTACAAATGTACCCCCAGCACTAGGGAGGCAGAGATGGATGGGTTCCTAGAGCTCGCTGCCTAGCAAGTCCAGTCAAACTGGTGAGTTCCGAGTTCAGTGAGAAACCCTGCTCAAAAAACAAGGCAGAGAACTGATGGGATGGCTCAGAAAGATGTTTTCAATTGTGAGAAAGAGTTAAAGACCCTTTGTAGGGTCAGACATGAGGGAACACACCTTTAATCCCAAGCATTGGAGAGTCAGGGGCAGAAGACTCTCTGTGAGCTCAAGTCTAGCCTTCTCTATATATCGAGTTCCAGTTCCAGGCTAGCCAGGGCTACACAGTGAGACTCTGTCTTAAAACACACACACACACACACACACACACACACACACACACACACACACACACACACACGCACACTTTATTCCATAGGCATTACTAGAACAGCATCTGCCCTTCAATTCATTGCCGTCTACTCCCCTTCTCCTTTAGAACTGGGTGCGTTGGAAATCACCCTCACCATCATCTTGACCTTTCTTACCATGGGCTCAGTTGCCATCTTCGTAGAGGATGCTATTTATCTGTACAAGAACACCCTTTGCCCCATCAAGAAGAGGACCCTGATCTGGAGCAGCTCTGCACCTACGGTGAGGATGCTGGCACTGGCCCCTTCAGAGGCACTGGAGACGGGCCGGGCTGTCCTGACAGTTCTAAACTCATTTGCTCCAGCGCAGCGCTGTCCGCCAGCACCATGTAGCATGGGGCGTGTGAACTGCTCTCTGCCTGTTTGCAAGACCAACTGCCAGCAGGGTGAAGTACTCCATTGCAAAGGGCTGCAGACAGCGACCCACTCGGCACCAGGCTGTGCCCACTCCTTTTCCCTTCAGCATGGCACCGCTGGTAAAAGCAGGCCACCTTCTAATACACAGGCATTTGTGTCCACGGGGCCATACTCAGCCTTCCGCTGTGGGCTTGTTTGTTCTTCGTTCCCCTTGTGGGTACTGAACACCCTACCACTGAGCCACAGCTCCAGCAGCTGTACGCCTTTGAAAACTTATGCAGCCATTGCACAGGGCCTGGATTTAATTTATTCAGTTATTTTCCAGTTGCAATTTTTATTTTAAAAATGGGTTGTTATTGTTATTATTACTAGGGTGTGCGTGCACATGATGGGGGAGCATGCCTGCCACAGCTCATGTGTAGAGGTCAGAAGACAAATTTGTGGAGTTGGTTCTCTTGTTCCACTCTTAACGTGGGTTCTGGGGGTTGAACTCAAGTTGCCAGGTTTTTGTGAGAAGCGCCTTTACACGCTGAGTCATGTCACCAGTCCTTGTTTCTACTTTGGTTGGTTCTGGGTACGGAGCCCAGGGCCCTGTGCATGCTCTACCACTGACCCAGGAGCAGCAGTTAGCCCGTGGAAGGACTAGTGCCTCAAACACACAGGTCCGGCTTCTTTGCGCCCTAGCTACAAAAAGTCGGGCTGGTCTCGCTGGCCCCGCCCTAGCCTGCGTCCTGTTCTTCTGCAAGCAGGTCGTGTCTGTGTTCTGCTGCTTTGGTCTCTGGATCCCTCGAGCCCTCACACTCGTGGAAATGGCCATAACGTCGTGAGTGTCTGGCCCCGCCCTCACCGCTGGGGATGAGCATCCTTCTACAGTCCTTTCCTGACACCCAAGCCTCCCAAGTCCTTGTCTTGAGGCCCCATTGATACGAATCTAGCCAGCTCTTATCAACCCGTGCTAATGGGAGGCCCTTGAACTCTTGCTTGTGCTCAGGGGATGCCTTTTGGGGGGCACACTCTTCAGTCGCTGTTTGTTCCCAGAGGCCCCAAATGCTCCCTTCCCAGTCCTCTGGACCCAGTCACCTCTCTTGTTCCTTGAGTTATGCATCAAAAATGCCAGCCCCAGCTGGGCAGCAGTGACACACACCGTTAATCCCAACATGGGGGAAGGCAGAGGCAGGCAGATCTCTGAGTGCAGAGTGAGTTCCAGGACAGCCACGGCTACACGGAGAAACCCCCGTCTTGAAAAAAACAACTGAAATGCCAGGCCCTTGGCCCTTTCCCTCAGTGAGCCCCAGCTCTCCCGGCAATCTCTATCTCTTGAGGGGCAAAGGGGTGCCCTGTGGTGCTCTACCCATGGGCTTGCAGTCTGCCTTCTCTCCCCCAGGTTTTATGCCATAGTCTTTTATCTGCTGATGTTGGTCATGGTGGAAGGCTTTGGTGGGAAGGATGCGGTTCTGAGGACACTGAAGGACACCCCAATGAGGGTGCACACGGGCCCCTGCTGCTGCTGCTGCCCCTGCTGCCCACCCCTCATACTTACCAGGTAAGGCATGGACAAGTGAGCATAAGGCCCTGTAACCCCAGTAGTTCAAGGCTCTTGAAATTAAGCCTGTATGGGACACAGCCAATGAAAAAGGTAGATATCCCACAGCCAGGACCCCCCACATGGGGACCTGCCCCCCCCCCAAGAGAGAACAGGAAGAATTTTCTTTCTATGTGCATTAGTGTTTTGGAATGGGTTTCAGGTCCCCTGAAACTGGAGTCACAGACAGTTGTGAGCTGCCATGTGGGAACTCAGGTTATCTGGAAAAGCAGTCAGTGCTCTTAACTGCTGAGCCATCTCTCCTGCCCCAGAGGAAGAAGTCTTATGCTTCAGCTCACTGCCTTGCTTACTCATTTTATTTATTTATTTATTTATTTATTTATTTATTTATTTATTTATTTATTTATTATTTATTTATTTATTTAATTATTCACTCGTTCGTTCGTTCGTTTATTTATTTATTTGTTTATTTATTTATTTATTTATTTTTTATTTATTTATTTATTTATTTATTTATTTATTTGAGACGGGGTTTCTCTATGTAGCCCTGGCTATCCTGGAACTCGTTCTGTAGACCAGGCTGACCTTAAACTCACAGAGATCCTCCTGCCTCTGACTCCTGAGTGTGGGGATTAAAGGTGTTTTCTATCACGCCCAGCTCCCACTGCAGTGGCAAAGAGAAAACTGTAGTTTGGGTGCTTGCTTGCCCCCTGCCTACTTTGAGTAATGAACTTGAAAAGTCAATACTTTGAGCTCCTACTCAAAAGGCACCATCAGAGGCAAGCATGAGGCAAGGATTCCCAGTGCTCCCAACCTACTCGCTACTGTGCCTTCACCCGTGAGACATGTCGTGACGTCAGCCTTAGTCCAGGAGCTCAGCAGAGGGGCTAGGCTCCCTTAGGGTGGGTGGTTTATGGGTCCATGTTCTTCACTCTTTTCCTCCGTCAGGAAGAAGCTTCAGCTGATGATGGTGGGCGCTTTCCAGTATGCCTTCTTCAAGATAATGCTGAACCTAGTAGGGCTGTTCCTCATCCCTGATGGCATCTTTGACCCATCAGACGTAAGCCAAGAGGAGGCAGTAAAGTCTAAGACCCATTACCTTTGGGTTCTAGAACTAATATCTGAGCACCAGCAACACACAAGGCCAAGGGCAGGGTGGCCACGGGAGAGTAATAGGCCAGAGAATCCGGTGGGGAGACGAAGTCCAGGCTTGGGGGCTTTGGTATCACCGTTGTCCACATGGACAAGGAAAAACAAAAGGAGGGTTTGTCCTCCTGATTGCTTCCTGGTCTGCCACCAGATTTCTGAGAAGAGCACGGCTCTGTGGATCAACACTTTCCTGGGCGTGTCCACACTGTTCGCTCTGTGGTCGCTGGCCATCCTTTTCCGTCAAGCCAAGATGCACCTGGGTGAACAGAATATGGGATCCAAGTTTGCTCTGTTCCAGGTAACTACACCCCAGAAATGGTCTTAACCTTTGGGTTTCCTGGGAGATTTGGAACATTATCTCCACACACCCCCACTTCCATTTTATCTCTTATTTGATTTTCTGTGCCACAAAATGTCAACCGGGCTTAAAACAACAGAAATGTATTATTGCACAGATCGAGAGCCTGGAAACCCCAAATCAAAATGTAGGCAGAGCCATAATCTCTCTGGAAGCTGCCTGGGAGAACCCGGCTTGCCATTTCCTCTCTGGAATTGGCCCGCAGTCTATGGTGGTGCTTCCTTGGCCTTTTGCTGTATCACTCCAACCTCTGCCTCTATCACCACATGACCTTGTCACCTGTCTGGATGCCGCTGAGGGTCTGATGGTGGCCGTGAGAGAGAGATAGGCTGATTGTTTTGTGAGCAACCCTAGTAAATGAGCGGCAAGCACGATTATAATTTGCCTGAAGATGAAAACTGCACCGATTTTCAATATAGTTTTGAGTCTCGGCCCTCCGTTAACTGCAGAGACTGGTCTGCACTGGCCTCAGGACCAGGGGTGGCAGGTGCCAACCTCCTACCCCCGTCTCTTCTATGCCGCAGGTTCTTGTCATCCTGACTGCCCTGCAGCCCTCCATTTTCTCCATCCTGGCTAACGGCGGGCAGATTGCTTGCTCACCTCCCTTCTCTTCTAAAATCAGGTCCCAAGGTAAGCACCTAGGGCTCCTTTCCACATCGCGGGCCAAACTGGGAGGGGAGCAGTGGAGACAGGACCCTGGGACAGAAGTGGGCCAGCCTGATGTCTGCTCAGAATGTTCAGGAAGAATCCAAGAAAGCAGGCCGAGGCTCTGAGGACTCCTCCCTCTCTGAGCATAGCGAACTGCAATGTCCCCAGCTTGAGGCCAGTCCTAATGATCAAACCAGGAGGCCAGGGGTTCAGTCCTCAACTCAAGAATGGGTATGGTTAGGAAGCAGAGTGTGGAGAAAACGCGCACGCTGGCCTCAGATGAGACGTCAGAGCCGAGTTCTGGCTACCATTAGTCTGCCTTGCTCCACACAGCAGTTTGGCATCCCTAGGTCTTGGTTCCGAGGTAAACTGCAGTGTCTCTCAGCTGGCTTGTCGGGGTTGCTATAGCTCCCTCGTCTCTAACGCAGTATAACCTCTGTCCCGTCCCACTCCGCGCTGCAGTGATGAACTGCCACATGCTCATAGTGGAGACCTTCCTGATGACGGTGCTGACGCGGATGTACTATCGGAGGAAAGACGACAAGGTTGGGTACGAGACTTGTTCGGCACCAGACCTGGACTTGACACTCAAAGCCTGAGGCGAGTGGCCTGGACTATGGAAAAGAGACTGTCCTGCTCGGAAGAGCATGAGATTCCTCCCGTCCCTCGACCTTAACCGGTGGTTAAGGCCCCCACTGGCGGCGGGCGGCGCAGGCTGGCAGCTTCCATATGACTATAGGGATGGAGGTAAAGTGCAGTATGCGGAACCCCTCTGGGTTTTGCTCAGGGAAGGCGTTTGAAGTTTTGTAATGAACAGGGTGAAGGCTGAGACTCTGCACGAGGCACAGTCCTTCTGTGGGTGCCACTATTGGTCACCCTGAGCTTTTGCACAGCAGAATAAAGGGGAAAAGAGTGCATGGTTTATGTATGGTTTATCCGACGTAGGAACTGGAGTAGACCTTAGCCGGGCAAAACAGCACTGATCTAGCTTCCCAAAGAAGCCAGGCTCTGCCGTACAAGCTGTTCTTTCCTTGGGTGTACCAGTTGGCCGTGGGAGGTCTGGGGTCCCTTTGTGCCAGCTTTTTGAGTTTTTCCTAAGAAGCTGCAAATGGAACTGCTCGTTAATATCGTCATGAAGCTTGATCTTGAGGACAGAAATCAGGACACAAATTCAAAGGAACTGAGAATATAAAGAAAAAAAAAAAACAATACTTAACACATATCTGCCTGGTCAAAACTACAGCAAACAGAAACACCAGGCAAAACCACGTGGCCTTTATTTGGCTAAATGACAAAAGCCAAAATAACTGGACAAATTATCAGACAGGAAAGTGACACACTGAACTCTGAGCAAACTCCCCATGGACTCGCACTGGTGATAGGCAGGTGTTCATGGCACGGGTGAGATTTCCCAAGTGTCTGCCGTTCAGCAGCCTCGGTGCAATCAATTCTGTTTACAACAGTTGGTTCCTCCAAGGCGGTGGAAGGCGCTCACTTCAAACCCGGTAGAACCCAATCTGGGCCACCCAAACGTTAATACTGCCATTTCTGTTCTCTACCCCAATCTCAGACTGACAACAAATTCTGGCAGACAGACTACATATCTTTTTTCTTTTAGGACAATTAACCTTTAATGTAGCAAAGTCCAAGAATATGTTATACTTATTTATTCTGAAAAATAGAAGCTAGGGACCATTCTTTATCCCATGATAATCTATTCTGTGAGAGAAAACAATCATTGTTATGACTTTGAAAAATACAACCTTTAAAAATACTTATATTGGTAAGCTTAAAAAAAATACCATTAGTTTTAAAAACATCGTTAAGGAAGCTTTCTTTGAACCCTGTGTGGGTTCAATTTCGGCACATGGATGCTGACAGAAATCTAGAGGCTATGGCTTTAGGGGATTAAACCAAAGCAGAGAAACAGAACTGATTTGAGAAAGGATTGAAAAGTTGATAAAGAACAGATCTCCAAGACGACAGGTTCCAGAACGTGGAGTACGTGAGTGAACAGGGGCTGGGGACAGTGACAAAGCACTGGGAAGAGCCACGGTGGAGGGTTATCCTAGACGGCTGGCCAGATGTGCGGCCACAGCGAGAGGAGTTACAGTGCTGGAGAGAAGGGACCAGAGAGGTCTCTCCGTTCCTCTTCCTCAGGATCTTCAGCCTTCTCAACTCCGAGTCCCTTCCTCAGGTCTGCAAAGGGTCTTTGGCTTAGCTCTCCTGAGCTGCGGGCACTAGCAACCCACTTCTACTTTATGTGGCAACCTCTATTCTCCAGTCTCCAGCCTAGTATACGAAAAGAGCAATGTTCCTGTCCAGCCCACGTCCAGGTTAGCTGCTATCCTGGCCTCTCCTCCACACCAGCTAGAAGACTCCTGTCTGCAGCCACTTCCTATGGCAGAGAGGCTTCGAGGCCGACCCTTCCATGCTTATCCGGCCTCAGGGAGGAGCTCCACAGCCGAGGCTGCACAGGAAGAGGTGCGGATTAGTCAGACACAACATCCAAATGCTTAACCACACTTAACTAGGTACAGGAGGCTGACAGTGCAGCATCCCCACAGCACCTTTTTCTAGCACCTAGGAGCACACTCACCCTCAAGTACCTAACATGCTGCCACACCCTAGACGTTTTTTTGCTCACGTCTAGGTTATCTGAGACTATGAGTGTTAGGAGATGGGAAAGGGGGAGGGGCGTTCTGAGAACATGAGCATAGGCTAGTCCTGGCTACGGAACACCTCTTGTCAGCCTAGAGGCTCTGATGTTTGAGACCCTTTCCATTCCCACAGTGCCAGCTCGGGTGACACGCACTGTGGGAACAAGCAGGTGAGTGTCGGTAGTGACGTCATCACTTTTGTATACTCGGGAGAATAAGGCAGAGAGAGACGGATCGCCAAAGGGAGGACCAAAGTAGAAGAGTCAGAATGAGCTGTGCAGCGCTATATAACACGAGAAAACCCTCACTTCAGTGGGTTTGAGAAAGGAGTCCAGGCCAAGGCCACGTGGGTCAGATCTGACAGTGAAAACAGCACTGTGAGGAGTTAGGAATGGAGTTTCCACGGGCCATCGGGACACCAAGGTGTGCCTCTCTGACCCCCTCCTCTGCTTTGCCTGCCTGGGAGATAGCTGAGGAGCCTGGGTAGGCCTGCCATGCAGGTATTTCATGCTGCGAGCCTCAGACCCTTAGGCAGTAAGAAAGTGTCTGGGGAGGGCTATGAAATGCTCACAGTCCTAACAGAGGTACAAGGAAAAAGAAAATGTGGTTTTCTTTGCTGAAAACCCTAAAGCTCCACCCCCACAAGGGGTATTCATGAGTGACAAGTAGGTCCTGGAGTAAACAATTTTGCCCTAAATCCCACGACAGGATAGCTGACAGTGAGGAACTCGCTGGGCCATGAGCGGAGCTGAGGGGCAAGGGGACTGAACACACCAGCTCATCCTCAGCAGCAGGTGTCGAGAGTCGGCACCCTTGATTTGAAATTCCAGTTCTGTTTCCTCTCGGAACAGGTGGGTCGGGGCACCGACCTCCGCGTTAGTAGTTTAGCCCAAGCCTGTGGCTTCTGGAGGGGCAGTGGAGGAAGTCCCTGCCAGGTGCAGCTCTTAGAGGGTAAAGAGCCTCCATGAGCCACTGATCTGACCCAAGAGCATGCTTAAGAGGGGCAGAGGTCAGTAAGAGTGTTTTAGATATCAAAGTGTTTTCTGATGCTTTTGCCTGTGTGCTCCGTGAAAAATCTAAGTGTTAAATACGGCAGTAAGCAACATGGGTTAATGGGTCGAGTTCAGCTGGAAACATACAAAGCATCCTTTGTATCAAGCCAGGCACGGTACTGAAACAGCAGCTGCAGGGTGAGGGGTGAATTCCCAGCAGGAACTCGACCACAACTGCCCTTGCACTAGACTTGAGTCCACCCCACTGCCCTCTGCAATCCCAGCAGCCCCCGGTGTCCCTTCCTTTACAGGTAGGTTGCAGGAAAGAGATTGACAAGAACTCCCAAATAGTTGGGCAACAGAATTTTCTGAGACGATGAACACGGACGCTCTGTGGTTCGGTTCCGTCCCCATCAGTGTCTGTATGGACCCCATTGGGTCCAACAAGAAACTCCTCAGGGAGCACGAGAAGTGAGGCTCGGGTCTCTCCCCTCCACAGCCATGCTGACACACGGCCAGCAGGACACCCAGGGAATCTGGAGCTGATTCAGGCTCAGGATGTTTTAGGGAAGGGGAAGTTGCAATCGTCTCGCCACATCACACATCAGCATGGCTCTTTGTTTGCAGGATCTGCAAGCCACTCTCTTGAGAAGGCAAGCAACTAGTGTGTCAGGAAGAAAGGCCTCTGGGTATTACACGCTTCCTTCTTCTGCCCACTCCTCAGGGGCAAAAAATTAGTTCTACTTACTATATTTGAAAGACTAATTTTTAAAAAATTAATAAAAATGACAATTGCCCTGTCAAGATTACATGACATAAACAGTAAAGCAAAGCTCTGGGAGGGAGGATGGATGCGAGCAGGCTTCTAAGATGTGCTCAGCCTCCTGGGTGTGGCTGGCGGAGGTCGCGGGGCACAGGCGGTCTGCTTCCCCATGCCCGGGTCCTCCTGCCCCTCGTCTTTTCTTTGTAGATGTCCTTGGGTTTAGTGTTGGGATCACAGAAGGGAATTCCACCGAGAGCTTCTGGAGGTGACAGGCAGGGGGAGGGAGAGGGGACAGGGATGGGCCGTTAGTCCTCTTCATCCTCGCTGATGTCACAGGTCACAGCCTTGCGCCTAGAGAGACTTGCTGGGGAGGAGGATGGGGAAGTCTTGCCAGAGAAGGGCCATCTGAAGGAGGGGGATGGGGAGCGTTCGTGAGTAGGGCTGCTGCTGGGACTCTGCTTGGGACTGATGGCCTGCAGCATCCGGCCTTTTCCCTCCTTCAGCATGTGTTTCTGGGGAGGGAGACCAGAAGGGAGAGTTAGGAGATCCCTACAGGCCACAGAGTCACTCCCAGAGCCTGGGAAACCTCACGTTATTGTCCATCTCCCCTGTGTCATTGTTCTTTATTGCCGAGGATCAAAGCTACGTCTCAAGCGTGTGAGGGCAACACCCTGCCCCTGCTATGCCAAACATGACTCAGGAGACAGACGGGAGGGCACAACTGAAAGTCTAGCAGTTTCCCGGGCACACTGGATCGCTTCTCTGAGTCCCACCTGCTTGTCTGTCAGCCTCTCCCTGACTTCCATCAGAGACACTCTCCCAAGGCTACTTAGTCTGCAGTCACACTCGGGCAAAAACAAAGGCTCACGAGTGGGATTCTCATTTGGTTTGCGGGCACTGCTATTCCATTGGGGACCCACAGCAGCTGCTCACAGAGAGGAAGCTTGCTATCTGTTCTCTTTTTGTGCCCCCTTCTCTTCCGTGTAAACCCAAAACACAGAAGTGACTACCTTCTTATCTTGACTCCAGCTGTCAAGGTTGATAGACAGCTGACAAAATTACTAGGAAAATGTATGACTAGATAAGATCACTTCTTAATTTGGATGTTCCTTTCTGCTCAGATCCATAGCAGTGCAATTCCCTTAATTCACTGCATATTGACTGGAGGCTGAAACATTAGAGTCACAAGTTCAAGACCTGCCTCGGGCCACATAGAGAGTTCAGGCCTAAGTGCACCCACCCTGGGGAGATGCTGCCTCCAAATAATAAATGAATAAGCCTGGTGTGGTGGCACACACCTTCAATCCTAGCAGTTGGGAGACAGAGATCACTCTGAGTCCTAGGCCAGCCTGGTCTACACTGCAAGTTTCAAGCCAACCAAGGCTACATAGTGAGTTCTTGTCTCCAAAATAATAAATACATAAATAAGGCAGGGTACGTAGCTCAGTGGTGAGCGCTCGCTAGCATGCGTACTATGCTCTGGACTCAATCGCCAGTCCAGCAGCAGTGGGAAGCACCCCCCCATATCTACACCACCACCACCACCCCCCACCCCCACCCCCCCCCCCACCCCCGCCTGCCATATCCCTCGGGTCGGGAAGGCAGGCTCTCACCAGCGCCCCTTCTGGACCAAACATTTCCAGGAAACTGCCGATGAACTCTCGGGATTTCTCCTCCCACTTCTGGATGAGATCAATGCTCTTTTCTTCCACCTTCTGCACAAATTCTTT